TTGCATTGACTGGCATTTGGTTTATGGGTTGTGCTGAAATAAGTTTCATTACATGTGAGCACACTGGTTAAAAAGTCTTTATCTTCTACCATATATTGCAAAATGCCAAAATAAATTTCTTTTCAGTTGCTCTTCTTCAGTGAAATTCTTAGGCATTATTTTGTCACAGACTTTTTTCATGTTCACATTTCTGTTACAATTTGTCTTACTCTTTCCTTATCCATATTTAATTTTTCTCCTACTATTCTGGACATCCAGGTTATTCACCATCTTCAACCTCACTTCCTTCAAAGAACCTTTCATCATCATTAAAAAAGAATCCTCAATAGGTGTCCCTTCCAAACACCTTTTTCAACAATTGGTACGTTTTGTTGGAGGTTTTTTAAATTTTATTAAATAATTGACATTAGTATGCTCAGTTTTTACATTTGGCATATATTTGATGCACAGCAAAAACACCTCTTCAGATAAAGCCATAAAACTCTATGCTAGGTGAACATATTAAAGAACACTTTGCTACAGAACTAAGGGAAGGTTCACAGATGGGGAAATTTGTTTGAGAGCTTTGCATGTATTCTCCATATTTAATAGCCAATCCATGGAGATTTAGAGTATGTGAGATCATGGTACTGAGAAAAATATTTTGAACCTAAATGAGAGGGAGTAAAGAGGGCTGGTAGAAACTACATAATCAGGAGCTTCATTATTCATCAGTTTCACTTAATGTTGTTAGGGTGATCAATGAAAGGATGTGACACATCCATAATGATGGAGAGAAATGCATACAAAGTTCTAGTCTGAAAACCTGAAGGAAGGAAATCATTCATGAAACCTAGCATTGATGTGAGGATAAAGCAAAAACTGATCTTAAAAAAATGGGGTACAAGGATATGGGCTGGCTCAGGATGGGGGGTCTGTAGCAGAGTGTTGAGAACATGGTAATAAACTGTCTAATTCCATATAAGACCAGAAATTCTCTCACTTCTGTAGAAGGACTCTGCATGGATCTGGTTATAACCGTATCTTGGTAGGCAGTATTTTTATATCTCTATACTTACTTTTATAATCTTTACAAAATATGTAACATAATATAGTTTCAAGATTTATAATTCTTATCTACATGGCACAGTCAAATTTTAATCAATTAAACTGGAACCTTATTCAGTGTCTTCCATGTCTTCACATTCACATTGTATATGAACACTCATTTTCATTATTGTACACAAATATGGATATAGTGTCACAGGATAGTATATAATACATTCAAGACTGAAACACTGCATTTTGAAGACCACCATCTCAAAGTCTTGTTGGTAATACATAACAGATGGCATTCCCATAGTACAACTTTTTCCAAATTAGATAAATATAAAATAGTTATAAATAATAATACATTATCTTTTCTCCCTGACTATAATACTGCGCTAAAATAAAGATCCATTTCTCAGTGTACTTTGATTTAGGCAACGAATTATACAAATATTTACATCTGAACAACGTTAAAATCATCAGTTTTGTAATACAGTGCGTAAATGGTACTCGTATATGCAATGATATAATTACATTCCCATGCAAAAATTGATCTTCAGCAAGGCTATTTTTCTTTTAAATAAAATTATTCACTAACAAATTTCTTACTGATTTCTTTATTTATCATTCATCAAAACATGCAGTAAAACGTGTAAGGAACAAATTCCAAACCTTTCTGCTTGAATTCACATTTCCAAGCTGGAAGCAGTTCTTACTGAATGTCTCAGCTTCATTCAGTTTCATTACATTATTCAACTGTTGATTTTTTGCACACATACTTTGACGCAGTGTTATAGACTGAACCAAAGAAGTGTGTACAGAAACCACTTCGGTTATTGTTAATGACATAAAGAAAAAAATAAAGCTATCCCTGTAAGAGGCCATGAAGGCCCACAGGGTTCTAGACAATCAGCCTTACGTGCCGGCTGCACTTTACTCCCCAGGAAAATTATTTAATTAATTCCTGGTATTCATTTCTGTTAGAGGCTGAGTTGACCTCAGGGCCATAGTGCAATTGGAAGGATGAGGTCAATTGAAAAAGAAATCCAATGACCTCATTGGGACTTGAACCAGTGACCTTCTGGCTGGTAGCATAGCCCCTCAACCAACTACTTTACGGCATGCCCCACATAAAGAAAAACGTGAATAAAATCTTAAAGTAATCCCAGTTACCCTTGGGTCAAGGTAAAGTGAAGAAGTAACTATTCAATTCCAATTTTTGGAAGTGAGCTGAAAATAACATCACATGCTACAATGGTAAATAAAACTCTTTTATTCTTTCAAGGAACCAGTATATCGAGACATGACTGAATAGTTTAAGGAAAGGTGTCATCTGTTGCTAGGCAATGGCACAGTAAACGCGCTTTATTCATGAAACAAGTGAGCCATTGCTAGGCAATGAATAAACACACAAGAATAGTATTGTTCAAGGCTGCATTTTGCATGCAGTCCATAATGAGGCTATATAGTGAGTAAATATTAGACAAGTTATTTAGCTGAGAGTCGATAGTTGAGGCGACGAGTTCATTGTGAGATAGTAGCCAGCCAGCAATGACAGAAGCATGAGCAGAAGCACTCCACTGTTGGAACCATAACTGAGCAACAACTAGTGAAAATTATAATAGACATAATCAATGTGTGCTGATTTTTATGTGTAAAGATTAGCAGGAATGATATAATTATTTATAGTTATGAGTTATAAGAGTCTGATAAATCCAGTTATTGATGCACACCCTATATCTAGTCACTAACATGTGACAATTTTGTATGCTATATTGCCCATGTGCTTTATGGAATAAAGTAATGCTGTTTTCTATTAATAATATATGTATGAAGATTTCTGGGTAAATGTATCTTCAGAAAAACAGTATATTTACTTCTGTGTGACATAGTGGTCATCAGTGTTTAGCCCTGTACTGAATGCTACAAACTCACTCAGTGCATGCTTGAAGGTCTATGCATCTGGTCTTTGTACGAAATACCCTAGTTGGTGTCATGGTCACCAGCAGGACATTTTCCACAAGGGGTAACCAGGAATCTGTTTGTAAATATACATTTAAACAAGTCAGGATTAATTTTTCTGATTGCCTGGGTTATTCAGAATATATTTTCTTAAATAAATGTAATTCTGGTATTAATGTTTGGTAGATGCCTGATTTTTCCTTCCAAACTAATGCCCATAGACAGTGTTCACTGTAGTTATCAGATTTTACAAATTAACCTTCAGATACAAGTAACAGGCAAGGTTCTTCTGTGCATAAAGTTTGTAGAACTGTAGGCAGTAGCAGTCCTGGTAGAGCTCAGCACTCTTTTACCATAGCACTAGATAGAAATGAATATTAAGCAACATATTGTGGCCATTTTATTGCTGGGGAAGATGCTTCCAGTATGCATAATGCATTATGCTAGGTCTCTCCATCAATGCTTGACTCTTTAAAGAAGCACGAAAGCATGGAAAATGACTGTGCAATGAAACTACCTTACATAGTCTCACTCATCTGCTTTCTTATTCAGGAATGACAACAACCAGCTGAGATTTGAACCGACTATGTTTTGAATATAAAGCCATGGCAACATCCTCAGTGTGTGAAATACATCTTGCAGAAGGCAGTTTTGGTGTTCTTTAAAATGTCTGATATAAAATTCGCAATTAGGAAAAAAGAATTCAATAGAAAAATTAATGGTGAGATTCTGTCCTGCGTGGAATTGAAGAGAAGACTCTCAAGCAGGAACCATGAAGCTGGGTATGCACCGCAATTGCACTGTTCAAATACAGTTAATATGAATTGGCAGGAAATTTTTATGGTAAGTGCTGTCACCCCGCACACTTCTCTTAGTAAAATGAGGTACTGTTTATTGAATAGTATGCTAATGCCCACTCCATTTGTTTTCAGAATTGTCTTAAATAAAGTTTGCAGGAGATATAGTCTTTACATTTTATAACTGATGAGTGTTTTCTCTGCCAAATAGTTGAGTTCCTTCTCCTAAATGTGTCTCTCTGGAGGCATGGGTCAGTTTTCTTAGAGTCTTGGTATGAAGACTTTAACATGCTGCCTTTACCAAATGAAGTAAAAGGTAAAAACTGAGTAAAGAAAACTAAGACAGGCTAGTCACATGCCTAAACATATTGTGAAATACTACATTATTAAATCATGTGCTTATTAAATTTAAACGTTTTCCAGTAGTTCCATCTACAGATCATTTCAACACAAATTAGAATTTTATTGGTATTTATGCAGAATAATGGAATCTTCATTTCAGCAAATGCATGGATGCTGACAACAGCAGCACTGCCAAATCTGTCACTGCCCTTCTGTGCTGTGGCACTTTGCATTGTAATGTGCACGTGGCATTTGTAGTTTGCTTGTCTCGTCTCATAGCCAATTGAGACAGTCTTAATATTTTTTTAAAATTCACTTAGTGGGGGGTGGAGTCCAGTTGGGCCAACTCGGCATGGCGGCTACTGATTGGCCTATTGTACCTACCCCAGGTGATGATGATGATGGAGAATTTTACAGAATGAAGATTGGCAAAGGAAACCGAAGTCCTTGGAGAAAACCCTCCCCAGTGCCATTTTGTCCACCACAAATCACACTTGACCAGACCCGTGATCAAACCCAGGCCACCGCTGTGGGAAGCCAGCAATGGCACAGATTATGTGTTACTTACAATGTATTCCTTAAATTGTTTGTATTAATTGTAAAATATTACTACTGTGTATATCTAATTCTGTGTAAGTGACATGGAGTTTGAAGAGATTCAGAAAGTTCAAAAAGATATGATTATGTATGTGGGTAGATGTACAAATAAATTTAAAGTCTAAAGAGAGATTCCACTATTACTACAACCTTTTCAAAACGTTAAGATTCTTTGGTAACTATTCAGCAAGGCGAAACTATAGTTTGCTTGTTTCATTAATTCATTAGATTAATGTCAGTTTTAGATATGTGCTGAAATCACTCTGCTTTAAATAAGATTTAAAAGTTCGTGACAATTGTTTATTAATAAAATTACAGACTTTTTGGACATCACACATCTTCGTGTTTTTACCTAAAGCGATGTTTCAAAGTCTAGACTCTGCCTCCGTCCTCAGGTAAAAAGTCAAAGGAAAATGGTATATTGATAAAATTACTGACTTTTTGGACAATATCCTTTCTACTGTTTATATAAACAAAGTTCTAGAGAGTGGAGTGTGCAGAGAGGGGCTAGTTATATGAACTTGGCCCAGTAGGCTTTTTGCCTGAGGACAGAGCCAGAGTTCAGTGTCAGAACCATTGTTTAAAATAAAAACAGAATGATGGATAACGTCTGAAGTCAACAATTTTACTCGGCTCTACTTTTCCATAATTCTACCTCCATCAGATCTAGAGCCACTATCCATCTTCTGCTATCAAATTTGAGCACATTTGATTTCCTTTCAGCCAATGTTACTGCCTCAAGCAAATCAAAGACTGAATGTGACAAAATTGTAGAAGAAAAATCTGAGTTGGATTAACTCAACAGATGTAAATGTCCAGAACATGCAAGTACTGTGGTATGGTCCACTAGCTGAAGCCCAACTGGTTATCCACAGGGTCCACCACTCTGGGCAGGGCACGAAATACAAAGGCACATTGAACCTTGCAGACATGGTCACCCAGAACTGCTGCATGAGTGAATGACCTTGCCAGATTGAAACAGTTTCCAATCTTCAGTGACTGACAAATTGGCTGGAAAAGAGGAAACATTTGGACACTTTAAACTGCAAGTTTAGTATGCTCAAATTTGTTTACTCCAAGCAGAAGAATCCTGCTTCATAAGCCATAGATACTCTGCTAGTCAAGAAATTCTCATCCTTCAATGGACCACACAGGTGTGTTACCCTATTCGTAAGAATCTGCCAGTGATCCCTATCCAGAGCCAGATGAGTCCAGACCACATTCTCACACTCAATTTCCTTAAGATCAGTAGTAGTATTAATCCTATCTATATCATGGTCTCACAGGTGTCTCCTCCTTATTCATTTTCATATGAGAGGGCTGTTTCTTAAGTTTTTAATGCCAAGTTACTGAAGAGAAAAGCACACAGTAATGCACAATGTATTTGAAAGGAGTGTGGAGAATGTGATCATGGTCTATTTGAAGGCACTGTCTTGGATTCAGATTTAAAAACTGAAGGTACCATAAAAAGCCTTTGATACTTATGTGAACTATCCTGGTACCTCCTAAATACCCACTCACCCCTTCAGTTGTGCATGTGCACATGACACAAGGTGATATCCGCTCTGCTGACCCCACATTGATTGTTGTATGTCCCACTGTACAGGACAGGCGTTCTTTCCACACTTCCAAGTCCAGAAAAGGGATACTGTTACACGACACTCTTGGGTTCCTGAATCAAAAAGAATGTCCCATTGTCTACAATTCACAATGCTACAAACATGATTTCTCAAGCTACTGACAGCACCTGTACTTACAAGAATGGATCTGAGAGGTCTAGAAGTGAACGCTGAACCTTGCTGACATGGTCACAGTTGTCACACACAAGTCGGGATAATGTAACCTTACGGATAACTGCCAGCTGAGCTTCTGTAAATCTCACCAGAGGGTCATCATTTTCATACCTGCAAAGTCACAATGCTGAAAATATCAACAATTCCGTGGAGCAGAGACCTTCTTGAGAAACTAATAGCCACTCTGCTAGTTAAGAAACTCCACATCTTCGATGAAATTTATGGAATAATTATCATGTTTACAGTAGCCCACCACTGGAGTTTGTTCATCTTAGGTCCAAAATTATCAATACCCTGATCTCAAACCAATTCAATCTACCTTCTTTCCCCAGGGTGACGGACCAATTTTCCCACCCTTACAAAACAGCAATCAGTTTATTTGTTCCACATTATTTTGAGAGCTGTTCTCAAGTAAAGATTAACTTTGGCCATATTCATCATATATGAGTTCTGACAATCAAATAACTGGTCTATGATAACAGGGACCTACAGAGACAAAAAAGAGAACACCAGAAAATGATCACAAATCACAAGCACAACAAAATGGGAAAATTATGAAGAAGGGAGGAGGAATAAAGGGCACAAATTTAAAAAGAATTAATATACAGGCTATTAAAAATTGAATTTCTGTAACAGCATTTTAAACAAGATTTAGGAATGTGAAACAATCAATGAAGATACAGCAGATGCTTGTTTTACAGTGTTTTGATATACATTGATTTGAATATCGGCCAATTTGAAATGTTTCTAGTAATTTCCTTCGTTTTCCCAATGGGCCATTCTCAGCCTCTTATAAATGAGGAACTGGAAGAGTTGGCTGCACCACTGATTTAGAAACAGCAGTGGCAAAAACAAGATGAGCCAATTTTATGATCCTATGGAAACCCATGGCCTGCAGGAAAATCTAGCTGGGATTGATAGATACCTACACAGGTTAAGTGGCACTAATTCTAACTGGGAACAACAGACCAGTTCTGTCAGACAAAGAGTCAGTGCCTTGCAGCCTTACTACCATGTTCTGTTGGAGAGGAGGCATGAAGCAAGGCAAACTACCCTCCCTTCTTATTTTAAGAAGAAATTGAAAGAGCCTCCAATTGATCCAAAAACGACAACAAATTATCCAGTCGACTCTGACGACCCACAGCCAGGGCATTCCTCTTGTCGGTAACACCTACATATTTAGAATTTATTACAGAACAAATGGTATATAAATCCATGTATATACTCTTTGTGTTTAAAATATATAAATGTTTTGTATCATTTTATGAAAGAGAATCTCATTTTTTATATACCTGGATTGCATCCCATTGAAATATGTTATAATTTGTCTTTCAGTTAGGCTGATTCGATATACGTTGGCATATCCAGGAACGTAACTTGGCATATAACAACGGCATACTTTTATCTTTATAAGACATTTTAAACACTTAGTAAACTTACATTGGAAGACATTATAATGTGAGCCTTTTGTTAAAAAGACTTACAAAACATGGGGGCAAAAAACAAATAAAATAAAATTTTATGTAATATATTTACTTATATTTGACAACAAACATATATACAGTAATTACCATTACCTATATTACTTGGGTATACTAACCAGAATCGGTCACATTGTCGAAGAAGCCTGAACTGATGACCAATGATGCATGCAAACGTAGGTCCAATGACACCTCCCATGAGAGGGGTCTCTGCTAGTCCTCCTGGGAACAAGTCTATGTCATCCACATGAGCATAAAGCCGGCGTAGCCGCTCCACCAAGGGAAATGAAATTTCTCGCTTCAGGTCATCAAAATCTCTTGCCCGAGTCAAGTTGCACCATGCACGGTATTCGTTGTAGCCAGGAATACCATGGTCCCGTGCTGGAAAAATATGTTTATTGAAGAATGTTTTTTGGTACCCTGCTCACGTCAGACTGAAGGAAACAATCTGGTACTTTTGCATCTTTAAAAGTAAAACTTTGCTAGTCTGTCTAGGGGTATATAATGAGGAGCCACATAATTTGTAAACTTCAACAAATATTAAGGTTATCATATGAATGAAGATGGGATAGGCAGATCAAAGATCATCCAGATCATTCATACATGGAGTAGTTGAGAAATGCACTCAAACTTTGGTTGGAGAACTTGATGGAATTAAGCCACTTACGAGACACTGACATAGATGAAATGACAATATTGTGATGGATTTGACCAATGCTTTGCCAGGCAACAGTTCTGTAAACACGAACCAGCACACAACAATAGATGAGATTGTGTATTTTATGTCACCTGCGCCATTCCCAATGCTGGTAACAGACATATTAACTCATAGTCTGATACGTGACAAGTGTTTTCTGTTTGGTCCATGCCGAGAGGATATAAGAGAATATGGGAACGGTTGGAGGCGTTTTTCCGCACCACCGGAAATTTTCCAAGGCGCACCCCAGTCCGTGATTGCACACAGCTTTCAACTTTCCTTGTGTATATATTGTGCAGGCAACAAGCAGACATCATACAAAATCGTGAGAATGAACATGTTCACAGTATAGAACGAGGTGAAGGCTTGAACTTGGCGATGGTCAAGCTTACGACCGTTCAAATGGCTGAGTTGCCGTTGTAGCATAAGATATGTAAGTTAGGCATGATGTGATCTGTAAAGCATGTACTGACAGAGGGCTTGTGTCTATTGGAAAAGGAAGAATTTTCAATAACATGCTATGTGTGTGAAATATACACTTCACGAAAGGCCAGGCATAATCATAAGAGACAGACCCATCTTCTCCTCAGAGAGGATGTTACATAAAGACTGTTACCACAAGAGTTCAGTTGGGAAAAAGAATCTGTGGTCGTGGGCCTCAAGGGACCCGATGCCAAGATGAACTGATTGGCGGTAAACCGCCATTCGTAAAGTAACTCTGACTCTGACACTGATTCTGGGGGCGTCAGTGTGGAGGTGGGGTTGAATACCTTCACCGTGACCCTGTGAGTCATAGAGGGTGATGAAAAGAGGAGTCTCAAGGGACTAGGACCCAAGAAAGACTGCCCTGGCAAAAGCCAGCAGCATGTACAAATGACAGACCCATCCTCTCACCAGAAAGGGCGCCCCACAAAAATCAAGACCATAACTGTCAAACAGCAATAAATAACTGGTCATGAACTCCAGATTGGGCTTGACACCAAGACATACTGACTGACAGACCATCAGTCGCAATGTGACTTTGACTTTGAATTGATTTGTCTTGAGTTCCAAAGTTCTAAGGGAACAACAGTATGGCCAGAAGAAGAATTAGAAGACTTAGTGCTGCAGTACATCGATTTTGAAAGTGTGTAATTTAGTGTTACTTTTACGGTTCCTGTGTTAGAAATCCATTGCCAGAAAACAGATAGTGAAGACTAGTGGACATAGACTGAGAAGATTGGTGTGGAGTGATTGTAAATTGTGTAAATCAGCAATAGTGTAGTAATTATTTGTAGTCGTTAATAAGGCCAATTATCAATCCAAACCTCATCTTTAGTCACTGCTACAAGTGATAATATTAAAATGTTTTTTTTAATCCGTAGGAATAAATTATGGACTGGATTCAACTAGCTTAGGATAGAGTACACTGCTTAATTGTTATGGGCATGGAAATGAACACAACAGGGTTTGAGGTTTTCACAGCACTGAAGATTCATATTTAGATCTTCTGGATATGTTACCATGTACTTTGTTATGTGGGTACAAATATACGAGGCTACATGGAGTCATAACAGTGAAGATCTTGAAAGGACCTTGGATTACACAGAGGTGAACAATTTTTTGAATAGCTGAGAGAGTGTTAGATTGTCAAGGAGTCTGCTCCTTGGAGTTTGTTAATTGTTCCTAAGTTTTAATCAAAGAATTAAAAAGTTTCTAGTGTCTCACAAATCATCAGTAGGCATCTAATATACTTATTATGCCTAATAACACAGAAGTTAGTACTTTTATGGAGTATACGTATTTTATTAATTTTACTACATGGAAATATGGTACTTTGACAACCAGAATGGGATAAATACCAGTATGAGAGCAGTATGTACAACACAATATCACATGGTAATGCCAGTTCATTAACTAAGTACGTGTGTATCAGCTTAAAGTGTATATAGTATTAGAGGTTTCAAGTGCTAATTATGTCATATAATATACACAATAGGCAACTGGTTACAAGTGCCACACTGATATTAATAATAGCCCATTGAATAATTCTTGAAATTTAAAGACTGTTGTATTTGTAAATATTGTTGTATTACTAAAAATTGTATTTGTAAATGTTTAATTATAAACATTACTTTAGTACAATATGAGCATTTGTGCACTAATGATACCTCAAGTAAATTTGAAAGACATATGTATTTAATAAATAAAATTCTTTAATTGTTCTATTTTATCACATAAGTATTCATTTAAATTTGGTATGAAACCATTCTATTATGGAGACCCTGTAGGTCAATGTAATATTTGCAGCTAATATAGTACATAATTGAAGCATTTTCTTGACCAACCTCTCTGAACGTTGATGGCTGCAAGATCCATGCCTGAATATGGCATCCGCCTGTCCTCAAACAAATGATTTGTTACTTCGCTGGTGATGAACTGGTCCAGTGTCTCCATTGGTGTGGCAGCAAGGCCCCGGATAAGGTCATCAACCATTCCTGCCTGATAGAGAACATCAGGGTTGAAGAATGTGTCCCTAAGCCGCACTCCAGGCTTGCGTTCTCCATAATCTTCATCCATACGAAGCAACATAGGGCGCAGCAAACTGTGGCCAAAACGAAAGGCAGCTGCTGCAAACTCATTCACAATGGTAGCATCACAGCCTGGATCATAACCTGCAAGAGTAACGCACTGATGCATAACTAAGCTTTGTTCTAAGAACAAACTATTTGTTATCAACTTATAGGTAGAAAACTGCCCTAGTGCTTGCTTTTGCAACACAACAAAATATGTCTAGGGATTTCCCTCTCAGTATTCTACAGAAACGGCCAGAACTCCAAAAAGGACCAGGGACTCTAAGGGACCAGGGACTTACAAGGAGGCTCTGACCAACATGAAGGTAGCTATCTTCAAGGAAACTTATCCTGAGGATAAGCTTACCGAAAATGACCAGAATTCCATTCTGGAAGCACTGGCGGAGGTGTTACATAGGACTCCTAATGGAGAACTACAACACCTGAAATCCTACAGACTAGTGGGAGGTGCGCTTATTTATGTATGCACCGGCCAACAGTCTGGTCAATGGCTCACCAAAGCCATTGACAGCCACAGGCTGGAATCAGGTTCCAGGCTGAAGGCTACTGATGCCTGTCCAAGCCTGTTAAAGTGGCTCTCCAGACTAGGGACAAAGTTGCCCAGACTCAGAAAGAGCTGCTGAAAAGGATTGCAGATCTCAATCCAGGACTTCATACTGAGAACTGGAGGGTACTCGATAAGCAATCTGAGTCGAATGGCCAAAGGCTTCTTATTCATAGACCGGGACTCTTATACTATTATACAGAGGACTGGTTACAAAATATTCACAGGACTCTCAGAGGGGACTGTTAAGGTGCTGAATGATCCTGAAGTTCAACACCAGGCAGAACCTGTCAGATACAGTATCTTGCAACTTGGCCTCTGAGGGGGAACGGGATGATGTACCCACTCCCTCAGTTGACCAGAAGAGAGTATCTGTTGAGAAGAAGACAATCCCTCCTCTAGTCAACCCAGCCTTAGCAGATCAGGGACCTCCCTTGGAGGAAACCAGGTCTGATAAAGGAAAAGGGGCTGTGGAAGAAGGTATGGAGGAGGACACCTTTCCCAGCATTACAGAACGAACACACAACACATACATACACACAACATATGCTCCTTTCGAATTAACCTACACCACAGCAAGGATGCTATGGCAATTTTATGTTTTTATTTTATTTTATTTAACTTGATGAAGGAAAAGTAGACGTAGCACTTATTCAGGAGCCTTGGATACATAGGGGCCAAATAAAAGGCTTAATGGATTCAAGGGGAACACTTTATTCTGTTGTACCTGGAGAAAATGTGAGATCATGCATATATATTAATAATCATATTAATGCTTTACCCTTGCTGGAGTTCTGTTTCAGAGGCACAAAAACGGTGAAGATGACATACACATTGGGCAGAGGCTGTGAGGAGCTCATCATCACTTCAGCCTACCTTCCATATGACTCGGATGAGCCCCGCCTCTTTCCAAAGAAGTGAGGGACATCATTGAATATTGCCATCTTAGGAAAAAGCAGCTCATCATTGGGTGTGATGCCAGTGCGCACCACACACTGTGGGGGAGCACTGACATCAACACGAGGAGAATGCCTCACGGAATATTTGGTGAGTTTGAAACTTAATATTCTAAACCAAGGTAACGAGCCTACCTTTGTGGTTTGCAATAGGCAGGAGGTTCTTGACTTGACACTAGGGACCAATAAAATAGGAAACCTGATAAGTAATTGGCATGTACCTGATGAGCCGTCCCTGTTGGATCACACACACATGTATATATATATATATATATGCTTTCAAATAAGCAACACTACAGAAGATAAAGCTACTTATAGGAATCCTAATTGGGAGTCTTACAAAAACTACCTGAAGGTAAATCTGGAGACCATCGCACAAAATATACGCACAATAAAGAATGTTGATCGGTCTGTTGACCAGTTGCAATGGGCTATTATCTCATCCTTAAATCCGAACTGTCTGGCTAGGACCACTTGCGAACTGAGGAGAGCGTCTTGGTGGTGTAAACAGCTGAGTGGGCTTAGAACCAAAACGAGATGGCTGTTTAATACAGCTAAGAGAACAGGACAGTGGGACACCTACAAGGAAGCCCTTGCCTGTTACAACAAAGAAATAAGGAAAGCCAAGCGATCCTCATGGAGGAGGCACTGCCAGGAGAACAATGATGTACCAGGCGGTGCCAGACTCATGAGGATCATAGCAAAACAGGCAACCAATAAGGTCAACATGATAAAGCTGCCTAACGGGCAGTATACTCAATAAGGAAGGGAGACACTGAACGAATTATTCAGGGCTCACTTTCCTGATTCAAAATTGATTGATAATTTGGACGATGGGCAGGATCAGCAAAACCTGGGCACTTGCCAAAGCAAGACGAACAGGGCAGACTGGAACCTGGCCAGACTCATAAATAACCAATCAAAAATCAGATTGGCACTGAATAGGATATGCTGATGACATAGCAATCCTCCTAAATGGAAAATTCCTTTCAACAGTATCAGAGCGTCTTCAAACACCTCTGTACACAGTCCAATAATAGTATGAAAGAACAAGTCTTTCCATAAATCCTAATAAGACCATAATTATAATGTTTACTAGGAAGAGAAATATATAGGGCCTAAAGGAACCGACCCTCTTCAATAAGACGATCCAGCTCTCCAGTGATGTCAAGCACCTTGGTCTAGTATTAGACAAGGGACTTACATGGAAAAAGCAGCTGGACAAGGTCATCAATAAAGCCTATAAGGATCTTTGGACATGCAGAAGCATGTTTGGTAAAACTTGGGGACTGCAGCCGCACATTGTGAATTGGGTATACGAGGGGGGACCCAAAAATAACCAGAATTTATTTTTGTTATTTTTTATTTTTGCATTTTTTTGAACTGTATATTAGTCCCCTTCAAAGTATTGTCCATGTACACTAATGCACTTGTCCCAACGCTTTTGCCACTGCTCAAAACAGTGCTGGAATTCATGAGGCTGGATACTGTTCAAAGCCTTTAGCATGTTTTCTTTGACTTCATCCACATCACGGAATCGCTTTCCTTTCAGACTTCTCTTCATCCGTGGAAACAAAAAAAAGTCCGACGCAGCCGGGTCGGGTGAGTAAGGTGGATGAGGCACAATCACCATGTTGTTGCTTGTCAAAAACTGTCGGACCGTCAAAGCTGTGTGGGCTGGAGCATTGTCGTGGTGAAGCAACCAGTTCCCATTTCTCCACATTTCGGACCGTTTTTGTCGCACACTCTCTTGTAATCTTCGTAACACATCCAGGTAAAAATGTTGGTTCACTGTTTGTCCTGGCGGAACGAACTCTTTGTGGACAATGCCATTCACATCAAAAAAACAAATCAACATTGTTTTCACATTGGATTGCACTTGACGCGCTTTCTTCGGTCGTGGTGAAGTTGGAGTTTTCCACTGGCTTGATGATTGCTTTGATTCTGGATCGTACCCGTAGCACCAAGACTCATCGCCAGTCACAATTCTTTTAAGAAATTCTGGATCGTTCTGCACTTCACTCTTCAAGTCGCGGCAAACATTCACGCGGTTTTCTCTTTGGTCATCTCCGAGCAAGCGAGGAACAAATTTTGCAGACACCCGTCTCATGTGCAAACCTTCGGTTAAAATTCGCTGGACCGTGCTCCATGAGATGTTCGTTTCCTCAGAAAGTTGGTCAATGGTCTTTCGACGATCTTCATCAATTGCACGTTTGATTTTGGCAATGTTTTCGTCATTTCTTCCTGTCAAAGGACGCCCGGGGCGTGGCATGTCTTCTGTTGACATGTTGCCAGATTTGAAACGGGAAAACCACTCATAGACCTGTGATTTCCCCAAAGCATCATCATTAAAGGCTTGCCGAAGCATCCCAACAGTCTCGGCTGCAGTTTTCCCTAACAGAAAGCAAAATTTCACGCACACTCTTTGTTCCTTCTGGTCGGCCATCTCACTAATCGCCAAAGGGTTGAAACAGGAACGCACACAACAGAGCACCACAGACAAACCACTTAACTCAGACTGACGCCAGCTCACTAACAGTCACGGGAGACCCCCAGCTAACACCACCTAGCAGCACAACTCGTAACTACAAAGCATGCGCGCGCAACAGGTCGGTTCCGGTTATTTTTGGGTCCCCCTTCGTACACTGCGGTTATAAGACCCATAATTACATATGGCCTCACAGTATGGTGACCCAGAGTTAAACTCAAGACAAGCAAGGAAAACTTAGCAATCTGCAAAAGCTGGCTTGCTTTGGTATCACAGGAGCAATTCAAACATCTCCAACAGCTGCACTGGAGACAATCCTTGGACTCGCCCCACTGCATATACAGTTGGAGGTAGAGACCATGGTAGGAATCTACCGTCTCCAGTGCAGTGATCATTGGAAACCTAGATCCGATGTTTTCAGCCATACATACGTACATAACTCAGGACATGAAAAAAAAGAACCCATATTACAAATGGGGTCTGACAAAATGATACTGAGACATGTATATGAAAAACCCTTCACGGTCAGATTTCCTGACAGGAGTGAATGGGAAGACGGGTTTCGGCCCGATAGAAAAGGGGGACTGATCTGGTATACAAATGGTTCCAAGATAAATAAGGGCACTGGAGCTGGTGTCTTCTGCTATGGCACGAGGCGGAAACTTAGTTTCAGCCTCGGGCAGTACACGACAGTATTCCAGGCAGAAGTGTATGTCATTAAGGCATGTATTATGGAGAATCTAGATAGGAACTACAGAAATAGGAACATCTACATTCTATCTGAGAGCCAGGCTGCACTTAAAGCGCTTGACACACACCAGGTCAACTCAAAATTGGTCTGGGATTGCCACCAAACCCTCATGGAACTGGCCAAACATAACAGGGTACAACTGATATGGGTGCCTGGGCATGAGGGTATTGCTGGAAATGAAACAGCAGACCAATTGGCTAAGATTGGAGCTGAACATCCGTTCATAGGACCTGAACCAGCCTGTGGTATCTCTATAGGAGTTGCCAGACAGGCAATCAGGGCTGGACAAATATGAATCACAAGAAATACTGGGGATCCTTGACTGGACTCAGGCAAGCAAAGGGACTTATATGAGGACACTCTGCTAAAAGAGCGAAGGAACTGTCAAAGTTAAACAGGAACCAGCTATGATGGGTGGTGGGACTACTTAAAGGACACCTCTTCAAACTGGGACTAAGTCATAGTCCAACTTATGAGAGGTGTCAAGAAGAAAATGAAACAGCCACACATATCCTGTGTGAATGAGAGGCCTTAGCTTATTTAAGATTATATCACTTAGGTCAATACTTTGTGGAACCAAGTGACTATTTCGACACCCCCACATACAAATCCTGTGCTTCATTCGAAGCGCAGGATTGCTGAGGGGATAATCAAAAAGGGAAGCACAGTACACCACTGTAGATCGTGGTGCAAGGGCCGAGAAGGCCCACCACTTATACATTCATTCATCTCCTAGCTAAACAAATAAATACATATAAAATGAGTTACAATTTTACTTCTTTTGTATACACATGTGTCCTCTCATTGTGATGGAAGAACAGACTTTGAGGATGTTTGGGAATAAAGTATTGAGTACAGCATTCGCACTTAAAGGAGTGGAAGTAAGAGGAAGATTGAGAAAAATAATTTGCTTAGTGGGAGTGGGAGTCCAACTGGGACCACTCAGCACGGTGGCCACTGATTGGCCTATTGTAGCCTGTCCCGGGTGATTATGACGATGGAGAATTTGGTGGAATGAAGATTGGTAGGGGAAACCGAAGTACTCGGAGAAAACTTGCACAAGCGCGACTTTGTCAACCACAAATCCCACTTGACCAGACCCAGGATCGAACGAGAGCCACTGTGGTGGGAAGCCAGCGACTAATCACTTGAGCTATGGTGCGGCCTTTGAGAAAAATAAATCAGCGGCCATTGTAAAATAATAGAATTGAAGTTCCTTACCATATTTTCTAATTTCATGCCACATGGTCTTCATGCTAATAATGAAAGGGTATAGGGCAGTATAAGGGTTCCTGAACTCCCACACGATATAAGAAAGAAGTCCTGTCCTTGGTAGTAGCCTTCAGTCTGCAGGGTGAGACCATGCCGATGGACACCATCCCATCCAAAGAGGCGGGGAAGAAATTCATGATAGGTGATGTGCTGAGTGACTGCAGAGAGGATGCGACGAGCTGTCTGGTACAGCTTCTCATCATCCCAGTGTGGGTTTAACAAGGATAAACCCTCGGCAAGTCGGTTGTGTTCACGCAGAAACAGTGTATGTAGTGCAGCCAGACCAGGTTGTTCACTAGCTCGAGCATCTCCTGCAAAAAAAGAGACATAATTGAAATTGTAAGAAACAAGAATTCTGTGGTCAGAAAGTAAATTTAAACTACAGTTCATGGTCGCTCTAATTACCCACAGGAACTGAAGTTGTGCAAATAAGAAGTTTCCTTATCAATATAATAGATGTTGAATAATTCTGCAAATGAGTGGCTTCAGTCAACCACCTAATTCAACCATGGACATAAGTATTTTGAACATTAACTGTTAATTTTCGTGAAATTAAATTTGTGTGAGCTGTCACTGAAAACGTGTCATTTTGATTTCAAGATATGAATACTTAGGACGTTCTAAATGTCATATAAATATTTTCGCTTTTCAGTGACCAGACACGGGGTTTTGGATTGGTAGTTGATTTATTGAACATTTACAACTCATAACTGCAAAGGTTTATAATGTCCTCACTAATTCATATACTCTACATCTCACTACAGCACATGGCAAGCCTCTGGCTTATGCCACTGGAACTATACTTCCACTCTAATATATGTCTTCATATTTTAGTGCTTGAGCACAGAGGATAATTTACATGAGACATGCTTACCTACAAACCAATTTTTGAAAACAGGAATGAGAAATTTGACTTCACGTTGATGGTGTGTAATGATCTGTAAGATGTGCAGTATAGTTTTAATGCTGGCTGACTTGTGAGTGAAGTTGCATTTTAATATTATTGCTCACCTGCTCGGAAGCACACCTTGGAGCTGGATTTACACTCAGGGTGTGTGGTGATCTGGGGTAGTAGGGGCTTCACTTTTGGCACATTCTTGGTTACATTGAGTTTACCCCCTGTGAAGGAGCGAAGGACGTTCTTCTCGCACACATCAGAGCCATACACGAAAGAACTGTCAATGTATGCTGTCACCTGGTTCAGCTGTTCCCTGTAACCTGGAGTCACAAAATCTTCAGAGCAGCATTAATCATTCAACAACAGCAGTTCTAAAACAAAAATTTACATGCTTGAATTTATAAACAAAAATCTGGCAGCATTCATGAACAAAGCATTTTTTATAGCAACAATTATGAACAAGAGATTTGCCATGGTAGTAATCATGATCAAATACTCTGTTGTGGTGTTCATCAGGAAAAAGAATTTTCCGTGGCAGTCTTTACAAAAAAATTTCACGGGGACAATCAAGAACAGAACATCTGCCATGACAGGATTTTTGGAAAAATATTTGTCCTGGTAATATTCAAGAAGAAATGATTTGATGTGACAGAAATTTCGAAAAAAATCACACATGTTTTTTATGGTCACGTTCATGAACAAAGGTTCACTGTGGCAGCTTTCATAAATACAGTATGTGTCATAGGAAGATTCATGAATAAAAAACAGGTCAAAGCAAATTTTTTTGCATGCAAGATCTGTCATGCTGATGATCATGATTGAAAGATACACTGTGGAGAATTCTTGAACAATAAGCTTGCAATAGCAGCATCTACAAACAAAATTTTCTTCTGCATATAAAGAAATTCATGAGAACTAAGGTAGTATCCTGATATTTTTTAATGTACTGAAAAATCTATGAATAAGTAGGACCCGTCACAGTCAAAATATTGATCAGTTGCCATTAGGTTATTTAAGGACAGCATTTCAGATTAAAAATTATATAGAATAATAAATTGTGAGTAGGTACAAATTCAGACAGAAACAGCCATGACCTACTTCAGTTTATATTATTTTTGTGGCAAAACGTCCATCGGAATTTTCGAAATCAAGTGACACGTGGAATATTTTTGCAATTTTTGTGGTTACAATCTCTGGGGGTGGGGGGGAAATCCTCTTAGGTAATTATCATAATTTCAACTACAGAATTAAGATATCTACAAAGCACAGAAGACAGGCATTCTAAAAGCAACACCCTGACCTGGAAAGAAACGTTCCTGATAATTGCTAAAATATAAATTTATCTTGATGTATGTTCTATGACAAGGTGGATGGCATCACAGTGGACTTGTATATCACGATATCTCATTAGAGTGGCGTCCAGGGCTCTGTACGGTCACCAACAAGTGAGCAGGGTTTGATGATGACAGTACCCTAGATTTTTATTTGAGATGAACCTGACTCCAGCAGCAACCGTGTTACTTACTTTCCTGGGAAAGGTTCTTCATGACGGAACCTTGAATAGGTGATGAATGACTTCTCCAAAATCTTTATCGAAATAAATCAGTCATTAAATTGGTCAACATTCCAGCTGAGGATTACGAGAATTTCTCAGAATCTCTAGATAGATTTTAGGATGATATCTTAGACGAACAAGTTGCCATCCTATTCAAATAATTCTCTGTCCTTTAACCATTTCTGTATAGTTTTTCATTCCTTCAGGCACTGTAGACAAGTACTGTTTTTGTTAAACTTCCACTTCCAAATCAGGAAATTCTTGTATTCAAATAATTATCTAGGGATAATTTATGCTAAGGTCTTTGTGGTTTTCTTTAGTTCATCCATACAAATGCTGGAACGGTACATTGAGCTACGTCACAATCAATTCCATTCACATAACTCCACATTAATAATCGCAAATATCCTATTTTTTAATTATATTTAACTTATGAATATAACAGAAGTCACTAAATGTACGAAGAACTACATAAGAGATTAACTCTCCACTGTCAGTGACATGTGCAGGGCTGTGCCCTTGAGCTTAATAGTAAAACAGTAGATAGAATAGGAGCAGGTTGACTGGGGTTCAATTCCTGACAGATGCAGAGACTTCCTCTTCTCTCATAGCCCTATTTTGGCGCCTAACTAGTCTTTCTTTATCTCTGGGGTAAAGCAGGTACAGCAGGAAGCAAACTGATGACATCCACCTAGTACTGAGGTTAAGAACACATGGTGCACTATTTCCACAGCTCCATATATCTGAGAGATGTGGTGTTCTGAGTACAGGGACAACTTTACTGCCGCTCTTTTGATAAGTGACTTAACTTACCTAGAGTCAATTGTCCAGGCATAGAGCGCGTTACAGGAATACACATTGGTTTTCCTGTAGTGATGTTCACTTTGGGGAAGTATGGATCATCTTCTGGTACAGGGATAGGGAAGCACTCAGGATGTACCGTTGTCATCGCATCACATGGCTGGCAATCCAGAATGGAATCCCCAACAAAACCTGAATGGAAAATAAACGCCAACTTTCTGGTATCAGAACAAAAATGTTCAAGACCAAGAGGGTCCTGTCTAGGGTTCTGAGCAAGTTCAATTCAATTCACAGCTAAGTTTCATTTTAATATTATAAAATTGAAATCTGTAGAGTTGTGTTATTTATAAACAATACTCCAAATGATGGTGTTCCAAGTGGACACTTTCTAATAAATTTTATACATAAATATTCCAAGCACATTTCTTGTTTCCCATACTTTATGCCTGAAACAGTTTCATCTCGATTTCGCACTGTCAGCTATGCTATGTGAACTGCATAAATAATTAATTTTCTTTTGTACTTTATCATCTACATTCCTCACTTACACTATGATCATTTTAGGGCACATCAGACTCTGCACCCAATATTATCATGGTGGTCAGATCAAAATATGTCAATTGCTGCTATGTCCCTAGACAATCTTATGCACTTTAGGCATAAGGTGACCTGTTTAGTATTTACACGACATATCACCATGTGGTGCCACAGTGGTAGACAACAGAAAAAAATATTTTATATTACATGCTTTCATTCTTAAAGCCTGAACTTAATGATAAGTAATAATAATAATTCATACCCATTTCTTGCATTTCTTTCATACAACATCTAAGAGATTAAATAGCCTTGCTGTTGTTTTCATTGTTCATGAGATTTATTAAAGAGGATATAATAAATAAGTCTCATATAAATTTATTCAGAGCAACAATCATAAGTATGAATTTATATTAAAGAATTAGAACAATGTAATTATTTCAGTACAGTTTATTTCTAGGATTGTACGTTGTGCGTTCAAGTTCTAAGGTCTCCNTTTTGATTCGTTGTCACACGACATTCGGCCTTCTTTGAACTGTCACATCCACAAACGTACATTTTTCACATTCATGACACCATCACCACATGTCTCACTCAACTGGCGATGAATTTCAATGCATGTCACGCCACGCAAGTGGAGAAAACGAATGATTACTCGCTGTTATTGTAACGAAAACGTCGCCGTTTTAAGTATCAAAAACACTGCTCACTCTCGCTGCCACCACTAGAGTTCTGTGTGCTGTACAGTGCTGCCTTCTCTGTCACGCATTCACAAAGAGTGCACACGTATTTTAAACTAAACCGCATATGTCTATCTGCTCCCAGTCCTGAGAAAAAAAATCGGAGACCTTAGAACTTGAACGCCCCTCGTATTGGGGGAGGAGTACATAAATCTTATTAAGTCTGTAATAAATACTTTTCAAGTTCAGTGAGGTATGACAAATTAAAAAGAATGAATTAGGTACATGCTTTTAACCTCCCTGGATGAGGTACCTTTGTTAACAGGCGTGTGTGTGAGATCATGGTCCAGAAGTTGCGCATACTGCATGAACATGAGGGAGTAGCGTACATGAGGGCGGCTGGTGTCTGGATGCACATTTACAGAGATTAGCCGAGGACTGGGCAAGGGCTTTCCAGTCACAGACAAGGCCCGTGGACTGCCAACACCTGTACACAGACTTAAGATTAGCAATAGAATTTGTTTTGCTGGTTATAATGTCATTATATTCCATGCTCAAACTGTAGAATTATGAGGTCATGTTTCATGTCCAAATCATTTCACATTCTGATCAAATATCACGTGAAGTGGTCTACACTGAATTTAATATTTGTCTACACTGGTCTGTTATAATTATTATTTTATATCATGCTGTAATTTATCTTAAAGAGATATATTTTAAATACCTGTTCATAAAAATTACTATACAACATAAAATAATTATCTCATTAATATCTATATATTTTATTCACATCATGTATCAGTATATTGTATAGATTTATTTTATGCTATGAAGATGTTATATAACTAATGGATCCCTCAGTACAGGGCACTTTCTCTGCTATTCATTAAATACTCTTAAGAACCATAACTGATAACTATTTCTATTCTTGTTTTCCACAGAATTTCTGATCAGTGTACAAGCAGGAGCAAAATATTGCTTGAAGTCTTGCCAATAATAATAATAATAATATGTAATGGCTTTAATGCAGTTTTTATTGCAATAATTTTTATTTACTTCTCATATATCGATTAAATGTCAGTAATTTCAGCGTTATTTTGTTCAGATGATGGACTGTGGTGTAAACTTTTTGGTTTAATTGCATAAAAAGGAAACAAGCAGTACTGCACGCATCAACTGTTCAAATAGCTAAAGACTGCAAAGGCTCAACTAACATACAAAATAAGTTGAGTGAGCTCATGTGTACATTGGGCAGAAAATGAAGGAAGGATACAGGGCGGAAGAAGTGAATAAAGAGATGAAAGTTATTTCAAAGGCAACTGTGATTTTAATTTTATCTGAATGAATCAGAGTGACATTAATATTAATTTATAACATATAATAAATCAGAATTTGTGAATCCAAACATGATGCATGCAACCATTTTGGAATTTAATCATCAAGATATTTGGTGAGTGTAGCAGTATGGTAGCAAGCACTGTCATGTGACAAACACTTGAATCAGTCAGCACCAGTCAGTCTTTGATAATCTATTCACATTACTGGTCTTCACCTTCTGCCTTAATTTACACAACATCATGCATGCATGCATGTGTGTGTGTGTGTGTGTGTGTACACACGTGTGTGCATTATTAAAACTGGAAGAACCTGACACAAGCCACAGGTTTTGTAGTCTTGCAAGGTTTTCAATTATTTCAAACAAGAGGTGAAGAATGGCAGACCTGTCCACAGTGTTACCAAGTACAGTAGCATGAATGTATTGTTGATGCATGTGGTGTCAGTCATAGGACAGTCATATATGGTACAGATGAAGGATCTAACAATGTCAACCTTGTATCAGTGTCAATCTCAGTGTTACAAAATAGCACCAATATGCCATAAACTTTCAATCCTGCAAAGATTGTATAGTACTTTACCATCATGATATGCTGGAGGCAAAAGTCTCACAAACGCTCTGAGGGACTTGCCCCATTCTGGGTGACGTAGGTTGTTGCACCAGCCAGTTGTACTCCGGTAGCGACTAGTGTGGTCACAGGGCAGAGTTTGCTCATCACAGCGGAATACCCGTGGTATCTCCAGAGTGTCAGTTAGATCCACGTTGGGTAGGACTGCCATCAGTTCACGTAGGTCCCGGGGAGCTACTGCACTGTGACCTGACTCCTGGTCCTGAAGCTGTCTACACATACCACCAGAGAATAACATATATATATATATATATATGTATATATATATGAGGATGTGATAGGATATGTTGTGTTCAGGGCTATCACATGCCTCAGAAGGTGATGATAGTCGAGGATAAAGTAATGGTGGAATAATGATTAGCAGGAGAAAGCTAAAGAAACAAGAAAAACTTGTTTCTGTGACACACTGTCCACCATGAATCTTATGTGAAGTCAGCTAGGATTGAAGCTAGACAGCAATTTTGGAAAGCTAGTGGCCATTTGCCTGAGCTATGACATGGCCACACCAGAGATTTAACCGTCTAGATTTTAGGAGTAACAGCATAATACTTGAGTCATAAATAGCCCGCTAATAGGCCTTAGTGTTTCATGGACTAACATAACATTATAATACTAAGACGAACTGGCACAATACATCACTGTGGTCACAGTGCAAGGGCCAAGAAGGCCCACCCCTTATACATTCAAGACGATCTGGCAGAGTCCTTGAGGATCTAACAATTGCACTTCTTCGTTTGTTTCCATCTCAACACAATAACTATCAGAATTTCATTTACATTTTACTGTGTATAACGAGTTTATTGGTCTTAATAGTATGACAGTGTGCTACATGTTTCAGCTTATAAATCTATCACTAGGCAGTGTACGTTAACAAACATTTGCATACTATTCAGTTCTGCTTTATATGAATTCATAATTACAATATAATAAATATTACTGATGTACATGACTTTCCACCATTTAATACATTCAGCTTTGATCTGAATTAGTACAAGTTTTATAAAATTCATTAAAATTGGAATATATTTTTTTAGGTCATAAAATATATTGCATTGTTATGGTGTATTGAAACATTTAGACAATTAATTAAAATTGTTGTTCATTATATTTATGCACTTCTAGTCAAGAAATTCATAATAATGAAACCTGAGGAGTCATTAGTCTGTTCATAAGAGGTCATCACTCTGTCAGTTGTGAGCCAGATGAGTTTAGTCCGCATCTCATTTCTTTGAAGCCTAATTTTATCACCATATATTTATGCTTAGGTCTTCTGAGAGGTCTATTGCCATAGAATTGTCTGGCAAAACTTCAGAACACATTTCTCATCACCCATGTATGTTACATGGCCCATTGATCTCATCTTCCTCGATTTGATTATACCAATAACATACGGTGAGGAGTATGAATTATAAAACAATAGGGACTAATATAAATAAAAATATAATAATACTAACATAATATATTATAATACAATAATACTAATATAAATAAAAAAAAATTTGTTTTCTATCGACTTAAAGAGGGTTCTATGAAGACGGGTGAGGATGGTGGTGCTACTTACCCCTGCAAGAAACTGCTAACAAATCTAGCTGAAGCAAACTGAAGTATAAGCGATGTATTGGCAATTTCAGCTGCTTGTCTCTTTGGGCGATTAAAACCGAATGCTGTTCCAACTGGAGACAGTGGGTCAGCTGTTCGACCTACAATACACATGAATGTACTGCTATGATAAAATATTTATATCAAATATCTGAAAAGCTTTAGGTTAATTAAAATATGTAAGCCTGTGATGGAAGTTTCTGGTGAAATAAATCCATATAAGATGCACAATTGACTAAAACAAGGAGATGTCTTAGTCCCACTGTATTTTAATTTTGTCATAGAGGAGTAAAATAAATTAAAGCTATCCCTGTAACATGCCATTAAGGCCCATAGGGTTGTGAGACGTCAAGGGTCTCACATTATTTAGACATTCGGCTCAAAGATGGTGGTGAGGTTGTCAGCCTTATGCGGCGACCGTGCTTTACTCCCCAGGAAAATTATTGAATTAATTCCTGGTACTCATTTCTGTTAGAGGCTGAGTCGACCCCCAGGCCATAGTGTGAGGGAAGGATTAGATCAATTGAAAAAAAAAAATCCAATCACTTCATTGGGACTTGAATCCGTGACATTCTGGCTTTTTGCATAACCGACTATGCTACCGCGTGCCCTTGTTGTAGAGCAGAGCTAGGTAAATTATGGCCTGTATATATATTCAAATATTATTAAAAACAAGAACCTCTACCAATTCTATATTTCTAATAAGTAACAAAAAATTGTAATAAAAATAAATAAGTGAATATGCGATCAGTAATCACTTAACACAAATAAAGTTGTTAGTGAAAACAAAAGCATCAGTTTCCTATCAGACATATTTACTGTAGCTACACTTGGACATGAGAACATCAAGTACCCATACTGCAGAATATGTTTAATGCATATTTTAATACTTCATGGACATGAATTAATGTTAGAATACTATATTCATTAATTATAAATCATGTGATATGGGAGTTTTCTGATATACCTATAATTTACGTTCAGTCACTGTGAATAACTTGCCTCTGGTTTACATCTTTCAAGTATACAATTTTGTCTTGTAAGTTTGTCTGAAGAGCTGCCATTGAAAATAGTCCTGTCTGGATCCAAAGTAAAATTTGTTGCCTGTAACTGCTCTATAGTTTGCCACCAGAAGAATCCAACAGAATCTGGCTGACTTGGAGCAGAATGATATATTCATGCTGACATTTACATTTTGATGTGTGTATAAACACCAAAAGAAAAATGCAGAAAGTTTGTAATGATCAGCAGGGAGATATGTTTTTAAAATGAATATAGTTGAAACTTTTTATATATTGGCATGATGCCAGGTCAAAAGCAGAAATAACTTTGTAATAGACTCAATTATTAAAATTTTTTTAGAATAAAGAATGCATAATTAAATATAAAAATGACAAAAATTAAGTTCGTGATGAAAATAATAAATATTATTTAGTTCAGTACCTGTTGTCATCCTGTCTTATTTCCAGTTGTCTAAGATCAAAACAGAGCATGAGGAAAAGAAAATTTACTGCTTCTTTTGTATGGCTGTAAAATATGATATCTTAAGTGAACAACATAAATTACAAATGTTTGAAAATAAGAGCCTGTAGAAAACATCTGCATGTAAAGGGGTGAAGTGAGAGAACAATTCTTGATATCAGAATATGAGGAACTTCTGATTTATGTAGTGTTATCAGGACACTGAAGTCTAGATGACTATTATAGAATTGACATGTGGATACGAGGAATACATATAGAATTCTGGCAGGTAAATATCCTGGATAATGTCCACTTCTACGTCAAGGAGGTGGGAGGATTAAATGAAGAGGGATCTTATGGATATGAACTATAAGAACTGAAAGTGGATGGAGCTGGTTCAGAATCATGTTTGGTGGCAGGCTTGGAATTCGTGGAGGAGAAACTTCCATTCATACAGAAGCACAAGGATAAGTCTTGATCAGCTGCTTAAGGAAGATCCTGTAGTGTGAGCATATAACTCTAGCATTACCTTCATAAAAATGTTTCATAAAGCAAACATACGTTGCTCCCAGAGTTCCATCTCCTGTTGTAAAATTTTGTGAACATCTCTCTTTGCCCAGGCCACAGAGTCTGCTAGTAAAGTCCCTGATACTATGAAATGTGGATTACTGGTGCTCCAGGGGGTCAAGTCCATGTGCCCTATCACGGCACCTGTACACGCTGTCATAGCATTTCTGCAAATAATCAAATCTGCATGTCAGTAAGACTGTAGCTCTGACACTCTGACATGTATCATATTGACATTTTTCATGGTTTTTCCTAAATTCTTTCAGGCAATTGTTGAACTTATTAAAATAAATAACAATTACATCTTTCTACAGCAGCTTTTGATCTGTTATTAAACCCCTCTCAACAAAGATACCAAAACAAACTCTGTTGTTACAGAATGATGGTATAATAAACAATGGAGGCATAGCAATAACTTCAAAAGAAAGAAGGCCACCTTCTTATCTTCTTCATTCTCAAACTCTTCTTCTTCCTTTCTCCATTTATTCTAGTCTTCTAACTTGTCTTGACTCGCATTTGTGTGTTCACTTTATGCTATATAACTTATGCAGCCAAACATTTTTGTTAATGAACAAGTGAATGAATGAATTAATCAGTCAAGAGACATTATAACAATTAAAAGTGGTAAATTTTACATCAAAGATCTTATATTAGATTGAAATAAGCTGCATATGGGAAAGTTTACCGAAATGATCATGAGGAATCAGAACATCCCATACAATTCTGGTATATGGCGCTAAAATTGGGTCAAAGTACTACCCTTGACGAATATTGCACTTGTTTTATATTTGGAATGAAAATGTCGCCTCTTCCTCATTTCCATTGGTATTTGAGTGTTTCTTTCTGCTGTTTTCATTATTTTATAACCTGGTCTAGAGCAGAGAAGGGTGTGAAGACAAACATTTACATCTATTTGAAGTACTGAGTAATAATGTCTCTCTTAAGTTATAATGATGTAATTTTCTCACTTTAAAGACGGGTTTAAGAAAATTCCTGATGTCTTGGAGAGGGGGTGACCATATGCCCTGTTTTGAATAGTGCAGTCCTGTTTTACACCTGTGTCATGTTTGTCCTAACAGTTTGCACCTAAATATCATTTTGACCTCTTTTAATTCAAAGTGACAACTTTTTTACCTGTTACTGTACATATTTATATTTTTATTTTTAAAATTGTCTCTTTTTGTTCTGCTTTTGATTGGGGTCCTTAATATTAATTTTAATGAACTCAAGAATCATTCGTGATTATTACTTTCATATTGATGATGGCTATTGTAGGCAGGCCTATTCTTTTCTTTTTTTATCACAAATGAGAATGGGACAGTTATTATAACTAAAGTGCTTCTTGTGGAACAAAACAATATTGAAAACTTTATTTTGGAATGGGGAATCTGGACCATATCATGTTTCTTACAAGGGCTATGGTCACCCTATGTACTGTATGTTCTCACACTAAATTATTTGTGAGATACAGTTCATTATTATGAGATGCAGAAAATATGAAGTCAAGTCTCACAAGAATGGATCCTTGTCAAGGAAGACGAGTGGTTGCACTTCCCGGATATTATCAGCATTGTTACAGATGATCCTAGCCAGACTGGTCTTGCGAATCTCGTGTAACTGTTCTGAAAATCAGAAAGCATATAATGGTATCAGGAAGAGTCAGTAAATAGGTCACAAATAAAAGTAAAACAGCTGTAATGGATGTAGTAGTTTTTTCTATGTGTTTCACTAGGTAGCAGCACAGTCAAGCTTCATGACAGTCTAGGTAGCAGATGCGCATACACATGTTCGGAGGATGGTTTCTGTAGTCAAAATAGCGACCTTTCTTGAGAGTATTCTACCGAAGAGCAGAGTTCTATTGTGCATTTTCTTTTTTTGTGAGCAAGAGGACTCAATGCAAAGCATATTCACAAAGAAATGTTTCCTGTTTACTGTGGGAAGTGTTTGTCAAGTAAAGCAGTTCACAACTGAGCTGAGAAATTCTCTCAAGGATGTTCAAAAGTCGCAGATGATGCCCAACCAGGTTACCCTGTTGAGATTGCCACAGAACGAACTGTGCAATGGGTGGAAGAGTTGATTTGAGCTGACAAGAGGATAGCGATAGACAGGGTAGCAACTGCACTAGGGTGTTCCCATGGTTTAGCATATAGCATAATGCATGATCATTTAAGTTTCAAAACGTGTGGGAATGGTGCCAGAGAACTGAAGGATTGGCAATAAATGAACTGAATGGGTCCGTCCTTTGCAACATCTCTTACAGTACGCAGATGAACAAGAAGATATGCTTAACAGGATTGTTACTGAGGACGAATCATGGGTGCATCGCTACCAACCTGAATCAAAGAATGCTTCAATGCAATAGAAACTTTCCAGTTCAACTTCAACCAAAAAGTTTAAGCTTACACCATGAACTGGGATTCTCAGGAAGTATGAGACTGTTAGCCCATTTTCAGAAGTGCAGTGAAAATGCGAATTCTGCATCTTACTGTGAAGTTCTGTTTAGGCTTCAGCATGCAATTGTCAGAAAACATCCAGGCCAACTGGCAAGTGGCTTCATCATGACAATGCCACGCCCCATACAACTTGAGCAACCCAGGACAGAATTCAAGAACTACAGTGGGAACTTCTTGAACATCCACCTTACAGCCCAGACTTGGCCCCTTAATAACCACCTTGGTGGGAAATATTTCACTGGCGATGAAGAGGTTGAAGTGGAAGTGTGGAAGTGCCTGAGACAACTATCAAAAAATTTCTATGCTGCGGGTTTCGACACACTGGTAAAGCAATGGGACAAATGTATCAATGTTGGTGGAGGATATGTTGAGAAATAAATGTTTTCTCCACGTTTGAATATCACATGTTTTACGTTTTATATCAATTTGTGACCTATTTACTAACTCTCCCTTCTATATAAGTAGCTGACGGTACATTGTAACGTAAGTTATTATGGTCACAATGTTGGACTAATATTAGTGCAGAATGATGAAAAGATAGGGCACAATATAATAATGTCCCCTTTGAAAGAGGAGTATATTTGTGCAGAATTTATTTCCATGCTCTTTATAAATAGGAGAATATCAGACTCAATCGAAATATGGTTTGCAACTAAACACGTTTCATCTATGATTACATATAAACTGAATAATTCCATGATTGAGCAAAAGCATCGCCGAAAATTTGATTGTCACTTTTATGGATCCTGAATGTTCATTACTGTATTCAGGCAAATCTGTTACTCATCTGTATCTTGAATTGGTTGAATGAAGCCCAAATCTTCACTTTATTGTTTTAATATTCATATTAATATTATCCCATGTCTAAGTCTTTGTAGTGGTCCCATCCCTTCAAATTTTTAGACATAAACTTCGTACAAACTTCTCATTTAAACCATGCTTACTGCATGCCCCATCTATTTGAACCTACTGTTTTGATCACCCTTATGTTACTTGATGAAGCGTTCTAATTTGGAAGCTCGATGTTATGCACTATGCCCATCATCCTATTATTTTCCCTCTCAGAGGTCTGAATAATCTCCTCAGCACGTTGTTCTACCTTCTTCTCTTAAATTGTAGTCTTTTGTGTATTTCTAATATCTACATTTTGGATATGAAGCAGGACAGGGAATTCTTTTCAACACTCATCCACGCTGACAATGGGGCCCACTCTCAAAATTCCTATTCAATAGGGCTCCTTCTCCAGAGGAAAAGTGACTTGTATGTGATAACCATTCACCTCCATCTAGTGCCAAGGTAAAAAAAGAATTCAGCTTTACCTACAGTCCCTGATGGGATATACTGGTGTGGTGTTCAGGAACAACATTTGTCAAGCATATGAGAAGATTTGAGCCAAGGACCACTGGTTTACCTTTGGAGAATGAGGATGGAGGCAGGTCATTCTCATACCAGTAGCGATCGCCCCGGCGCAAATAATGGAACTGTCGTCCTAGCAGACAGCCGAAAGTGGGTCCTATAACAGAGCCCTCGGTTGGCGTTTCTCCAAGAGCTCCAGTAAACAGGTCAATATCACTCACATTCCTACAGAAACATAAATATGAAATGTGCCATACAGTATATACCAGGGGAGTTTCATGCAACAGAATAAGGTAGTTACAATTTTATTAGATTTTCACTATCATTACCTCATTTAAATGAAAACATAACAATGTTCTTCTGGAGGGCTCTTGCTAATTACAGTTTCATATTTACTTTCTGAAGGCTTTATTTCACCCAACTTCTCCTACATTTTCACATCTGCTTAGGAGATAGGACCTTCTACTTGACAATGACTTTGAAATTAGACTTAATGTCTTGTAAAAAAATATGGGTAAGACTAAGTTATGTTTAGTTAACAGAAGCACCTGTATACTTTACGGAATGATGACACGACGTGAAGTGACATTACATCAGTAAGCTCCTGGAAGCTGGTCACAGATGGCAGGCCACAGAACAGTCTCCAGTGTATGTATCCAGGCAACCCATGGTCCCTGCCATGCTGTATAATCTGGGCAGCAAGGTCCAGTCCATTGCCTGTGTTAACCAGTTACAGAAACTGTGTGTGCTTTACTCCACTTCCCATGTGTCTTCATGGTGTGATGCTTAGGTTCAGGGACAATTTTGCCTTCATATTATTTCAGGGAACAGAGTACTTGAGAAGCTAATAGATGCTCAGTTGGTTAAGAAATTCCCACATTTATGGAACTCAAAATTCAATTGCCATGTTCACAATAGGCCATGATTGGTTTCCTTCTTGAAACAGATGAATTCAAATCACATTCAAAGTAAATGCTGTCTTACTTTGTGTTTTTCCAACCAAAATATTATAGACATTTCTAATCTGCCACATTTATGCTACATTTCCTGTCCATTTCACCTTTTATGATTTGATCACCCTAACAATACTTGGTGAAGATCAGATAGAAAGTATGAAAATTCTTATCACACAAATTTCTAAACCCTTCTGTCATACTTTTCGGTACCAGGACTATGAAAATGACCACTTAACTTGATCTAATGCAAGATAGTGGAATGCATGGACCTTTACATGTATGTTCCCTGTACAACTTCATGATATATTGTTGTGTCACTTTCTTTATAGTAATAATTATCTATAGTTAACAGAACCACTGGACAGAGCAAATTTAAATAAAAAATTGACAAACTTCAGAAACCCACAGTTACCTGGGAATTTAAGGTAACAGCATTTGAGCAACTGGATAAAGTATGCATGGATGGGAACAGAAATGGTGACTCACGGTAGAGGAAAATCAAGGAAAATTTACAAATATCAGCTGAAAAATGTTCTAGGTTTTGAAGAATAAAATAAAGGACGGTCATGTTTTGATGATGAATGTAAAGAAAAGACCACTATCAGAAAAAGATAGAAATAAAATGCTTGATAGAACAGCCAACAGAATATTGGAAGAATATAGGATAGCCAGAAATAAATCAAAGAATATGTGCCCTAGGAAAAAGAAAAAATGTTTCAGGAAAACATACTGCAATGTATTCGGGATAAATTTGGAATAAACGAAAGAAGAAGTGCTATGAAAACATTTGTAACATTAAACATGCTTTCCAACTGAGGACGAACATGAGCCAAGACAAGTTGGGAATTTTAGTCACTGGTAACATAGAGATACTAACCAGATGAAAAGATTGTTTTGAAGAACACCTGAACTCTAATGTAACTAGAAACTTAGAAGACAGTGGTAACATTTATTACTCCCCAGAACTAGAAATATTAGAACCAATAACTAAGATGGTGTATTATGTGATCAAAAACCTTAAAAACAGAGGAGCCCCAGGTAAAGGTGGCATTAGTGACGATTTGATTAAGAGTGGAGGGCAGAGACTGTGGAAAGAATTTTATGAGTTAATCCAGACAATCTGGAACACTGAACACTTTCCTGAAGATTTGAGAACAGCCATTATCTGTCTTACACACAAGAAGGGTAGCAAGTTAATATGCAACAACTACAGAGGCATGTCCCTTCTAAATGTCACCTGTAAGGATTTCACCGCCATCCTTGCCAATTATATTAAACCCTTTGCTGAGAACTTACTATGTGAATACCAATGTGGCTTTCACAAAGGACACTCCACAATGGAACATATCTTCACAATACAGCAAATCCTGGAAGAATGTTACGAGCAAAATATAAATATCCACCAGCTCTATATAGACTTCAGACAAGTTTTCAGTAGTATTACAAGACAGTTTATTTAAGAGGTCATGGCTAAATTCTAAATTCCATTTAAATAATTAGTCTCAGTAATATGCCCTTGAAAAGACATGCAACAATGTTAAAATTCAAAACAAATTCTCAGCCAGTTTTATGACTAATACAGGCATGAGACAGTGCCCTTTTTAACATTCCCTAGGAAATAGTTCTTAGGGAAATACATGTGAACCCAGGCAGCAAAATTTTCAATAGAACGTGGCAGATACTGGCATATGTGGATGACATTGCCATCCTAACCACCAGTACAAATACTTTAAATGAAGTCCTTGAACAAATGCAGGCAACATCTTCTTCTACTGGGTTAATAATCAATACTGAGAAAATCAAGTACATGCAAGGTTATGGAAGAAGTGGAATGATGATAAAGTGCTTTGCAATAGGTGAGAAGAAGAGGTCTCGTCTTTCAAATATCTCGGCTCTCTCATAATGGGTAACAATGACTTTGCTGTAGATATAACAAAAAACTGCTGGAGGCAACAGATGTTTCTATACCCTTGGAAGCATCCTCAGAGCAAGATATATATCCAGGAAAATCAAAACGAATATGTATAACACATCTATTCTCCCTGCTGTCCTTTCTGGTAGTGAAACCTGGACACTTACAGAGAGATCAACAGCAGCTCTCATGTCCAGGGAAAGGAAAATTTTAGGAAGTATATATAGCGTTGTAAACATTAATAGCACATGGCAAATAAGATCTAATGGGGAATTAGGAAATCTATATAATAGAGCAGACATTATGGCTGAGATCAAATCTAGAAGAATAGAATGGCCAGGACATGTTTTGAGAATGGAGAGCAGCAGGGTACCACAGTAAAATTCTGGATGGCAGACCTGAGGGGAAAAGTAGCACTGGGAGACAGAGACTAAGATGGCTGGATGATGCTTTCAATTATTTACAAAATATGGGAGTAAGGCAATGCAGAAAGAAGGCTAAAGATAGACAAGAGTGGACAGGAATAGTGAGGGAGGCAAGGTTAAACTTAAAAGCACCATATAGCCAAAGTAAAAGAAGAAGGGCTATGTACCTTCATTAGAGTCTTGAAACATGTGGTTTGTCATGACTTCATTAATGAATTCATCCTCTCTCTGTGCAGGTGCATGCAGCAACCTTTGCAGCACTTTATCCAGTCCACCTGGCTCATACAGTTGGAATGGAGCATAGAATGTCGACATGATGGTCTTGTCAGTCGAAATGCGACCTGCCTGTAATAATACATTGTGAGATTTGACTAAGTAGGGTCTAGGGGCAGTAGTCAATTTTTAAGTGCAAAACATTATGTTTAATTGAATAGTAATGAACGTAGAGGCCCAGAAGTGCTATGATCTTTTGATAATACCCATAATGATGGTGAACAGATGGAATATCTTGTTTTGTATAGGATGTATATAACATGAATATAATAACCTTAAGGCCAAACGAATGTTTTCACCTTGAAATTTTAGGAGACATATGAATTTTCCTAAAGGTATGCAATTGGACACATTACCAGCACCCCTGAAGGCGATATGGCCAAGGGATGCTTAAAACGTTGCCAGCCAACACTGTTTTAATTTACTGAAATAATTAATCTTTTTTTTTTCTTTGGCACTATAGCCCCAGTGGGCCTAGGCCTACCTCCATGAACTTCTCCGTTCACTTCGGTTTTTCTAGATCTTACACATTCGGTAGGACTCCTTGGGCAGGTGATCAGCTTGTCGCAAGGCCTCTACCTGTACACAAACACAGAAAAACGCACACACACAAACTAAACATCCATACCCTGAGTGGGATTCAAACCCACGACCCTGGTCTCTGAGCGAGCGAAGACAGTACATGCCTTAGACCGCACAGCTACCATGACCGACAATTAATCTTTTACTGTACAGATTTACCACAATTTGTTTTTAGCCAAATATCCTCTCAGTCCTTCTTGGATCTGGTTGACAACTAAGTTACTCTCACAGCCCTGACTGCATTCTACAGTTCCTATTCCTGCCAGTTATCTTATGAATTTTTCTTCTTGCATTTGTCCATTCTCTAAAACATAGATAATCAGTTTTTTCTCCAAATTCTCACTAATTTGTAAGGCATTGGTCTCATATGTACTGGGGGTTACATGGCCAAGGTATAATCTATAATCTTCAATTAATCTGTTTTTCTTTGCACAAGTGCACGGCCCCAAATTCATGACAATTGTTCCTACAAAACGGAAAGAAGAATAAATCTTCATTTCAATGGTATGCATGCAATTGAAAGCATGAATAATAATATTACTGGAAACTTACCACTATGAAATTACATCAGCCACTTTCGCACATAAAAACTTACTTTGCTGCTGTGATATTTGTTGCTGGGTTGTGTTCAATAAGCATTTGTTTTCATGAACATATGCAGTGCAATCTTCCTGAGGTGTAGCACATGCAATATGCCATCAGACTTTCCAAAGCGGCTTGTAGAGGTATTCTGGTTATATTACCCTCATTTACTACATTAAACTTTTATGTATTGTAGCCAATGTATTTTCACACTAACTCCTCATTTTGAGATTTGAAATTGAGAAGCTATTTCAAGGAAATAGCGGCTCCGGTCTAGAAAACCGAAATTAACGGCCATGGGGATTTGTTGCGCTGACCATGTGACACCCTCTATCTACTAAAGCTGGCACTAACTTCGCCGACAAGCGGTCATTATAGTTCGCGTGCAGACTAAAACCACAGGTTTTTTTTTTTTTGTATCTTTGAGCTGTCCAAAGAGATTATAGTCTGAAGGGGCGAGATCTGGGCTGTAGGCAGGGTGTTCCAGCACCGCGAAACCCAAATGGTTAATGGTTTAAACGGTCTGGCCGGCAATGTGTGGGCATGCATTGTCATGCAACAACAACACTTTCTTCGACAATAGGCCTCGGCATTTGGTGCGAATTGCTGGCTTCAGATTGTTGACCAGCAAATCACTGTATCTTGCACTGTTGATCATACACCCTTTTTCCATGTAGTCTTCCAATATAAGCCCTTTTGAGTCCCAAAAAACGGTTAGCATCTCCATTCCCGTGGAAAATTGAGTCTTGAATTTCTTCTTCGTTGTCAATACTGGGTGTTTCCAAGCCATACTTTGGCTTTTGGATTCTGGCTCATAGTGATGGACCCACCGATGAATTTCAGCCCCTAACACACTTTCCAACCAGAGAAATCGGATCACTGTTCTTTGTTCCTCCTTGGTGCACACTGCTAGGGGAGTGGCCATGTTTACACTGTCATAGTATCAAGGAAAATGATGTGATCAAGGTTAAACTTTGATCACATGACCACAGTAGTACTAACTCTAAGCATGCATGCGCAGAAGGCAGTGTGACAAGCCTAAAGACGTGTTATGGTGAAAGTGCAGATAATTTCTGACTTTCTCCCGTAGTATCTTAGCATACTAATAGACCCACTGGGCCTAAATAATATTCTATTCCATTAACAACCTAGTTACTGCCCCAACCATCTGTAACTAATTTCGGGATGCATTAGTACCCATCTGTAGATTCATCTGAAGAAGAAATCCCTTACTGTCATTGAACCAGTAGGGTCATCTTTGACATAAGAAGAGTCTGCAACTCAACACAAGGTCACCTACCCATAGGTAATTCTAACGTAGACTCAAGAAGAAGGGACTCACATTGTCAAACATGTTGAGGCTCTTTGGTATGAGAGATGCAACAAACCACATTGCAGCTGCTGCCACACTGTTAGCGATACCAGAATTCACATTGATGTCATATCCTGTAAAATGGCCCGAGGCTTGAGGCTGCAAACCATACTGGTCCATTGTGTTCTGCAAATACATATGCAAAAGTTTTTCTTAACCTGAACACATGTTACAATCTATGGATTTCAAAAACACACATCATCATTAACATTTGTCTGTCCTCCATCCCCTCTATTTCTCCACCATTTCTTAAAAATTTTCTTGACTTATACAGATATCAGATACTGAAGTATTAATCTTAAATAAATTTAACCAGTTTTAATGCCGTATGAACAAAAATATCTTTTCACAGGCCATTATTCTATTAATGAAGCAGCCATATTAGTCCAGTGTGTCACAGTGTTAACTGTATTCAAATTCACTGAACACCAACCAAGTACAGATGAGATAAGGTTCACGTTAAAAATTATATTTAGACTGTTTAATGTAATGTACATATTAAAAACTCAGTCTAATATAGGGACTTTTTGTTGTATTTGTTACTGAAAACTTTCTTCAGGAAACCGTCCTCCAGGGGTGTCATACTGTTGGGTTTAAGACTCTCACAGTGTGACTATGATGTGTAATGTACTCATATATTGGGATGTAATGCTTTGTAGTTTGGTAATAGTTCACTGACGTTTTGGAGGAACATAATGATTCCAACTTCAGGTTCAAAGAGTAAGCCAAGCAAGCAGCCAGCAGGAATAAGGTGGCATGAAAAGTTGCTTGCTTCTTGCTGATTATATTGCTGAACTTCTACAGGACTGCACAGCATTATATTCAAGAAGATATTACTCATAGTGTCATAAGATTCTTGACCTTAACAAAACTACTGATTATATGAGATACGTTAGAAGTTTCAGAATTCTCTATTATGGTATTACGTCTGTGTCGTGTCTGTCACTCACAATAACTTCTGAACCAATTAATGTATTTTTATTTAACTTGATATGAGCATCACCCCTTTGGAATTTTAATGCCCTACCACCAATCACTTCAATGTCACATGACTTAATATTGACCGTGAGTCTTGAAATACTGTGTGGCACTTATTCCTATGTTTAATTATGACCCACAACATGAAACCATATATGAGAGTGCATTTAGAATTTTTGGTACAGAGGTGTCTGGTTATTCATCCCTACAGCGCATGTGCATGTGACTAACTATGAATTTATACCTATACGACACCCCCGAGAATGGCCTAGACAGTCTGAATTTGTTGGGTATCAAATGAAGTTAATAAAGTGTCTATAGGCCTACTAAACCGAGTTATTTAAAATCGTACTCACCTCCAGCTAATACCGAGGTCAAGGAAACATGGATCTGTACATCCACTCCCCCATACATCTTCATGGCGCAAGTGCTTGATTAGAGAAGTACAGGCACAAATTCACCTTTTACTTCATTTAATAATTGTACTGCACTAGTAGGCCTAAATGTAACTAAAATCATTACAGGACGTAACAGTAGAAATCTAAATCCTAAATAGGGGTCGTGTTGTTTACACCCCCATCCTGTACCGAGTTGCCAGCATTAGTACAATAAAATTACAACTGCTAGTACATATTAACCGAAGTGAACGGAGAAGTTCATGGAGGTAGGCCTAGACCCACTGGGGCTGTAGTGCCAAGTCCTACATAGCAACAAATTATAGAACGATTAATGAATAATAAACTGAAAAGGATTTCGAAGAAAATGGTCCTGGCTTAATTTAAGATAATATCCCACAATCTGTCTGAAGATACTGAGGAAAACCGCGAGCCTCAGGCGGGATAACCGGTCTCCAGGCCGAGGTTTGGATCCAGGGCCGCCGGATCTGCAAAAAGGAGGGGCTCACCACTGGACTGCGAGAGTCGTTCTTTTTCCACTGAAGCAGACCAAAAATAACTTCACTTCCTGGCTTCTCCTCAGGCAGTATGTCTATTATCTTGAAATATATCGCATTTTCCTGTGTTTGTTTGTTTACAGATTCCCCCCCCCCTTTTACAGTTTTACTTTTCAGATTTCATCTCAGAATGGAACCTGCAGGAACCCACCTGACCCAGCACGACGGGCAGGAACTCTGTGTACGTGATGTGCTGTACCTCTGCCGCTACAATGCGTCGTGCCTCCTGGAACAGCGTCTCATCTCCCCAGTGAGGGTTGAGACGTTGAAGGGCGGTGGCCAGGCGGTTATGTTCTCGCATCCACAGCGTGTGCAGCGTGGCCAGCCCCACGTGTTCGTTCACACGAACGTCTCCCGCCTTGAAGCACCTGAAAACAAGTCCGCACATAGCCCCGGGTTCTGACGAAAGGCAGGCAGGACACGAAGGGATGGGAGCGGAGAAAAGGATACACAACTTTAGACGGCAATCTGAAAGGGCGGATATCACTTGGGAAACTTGCGCATAGGTGAGAAAGCAGTCACTCACTCACTCACTCACTCACTCACTCTTAGAGCTGAGTCCTTCTTGAGAAGCCGCCAATTGTGCAGCTACTCAAGAACTTCCCCCATCCTACCTCAACCCGAAGGTTTATTACCGTGTTCTTAAGGGCAATCCACTGGTCCCTGTCCTGAGCCAGATCAATCCAATCCATCCCATCCCATCCTACCTCTCTATGATCCATTTTAATATTGTCCACCCACCTACGTCTTCGTCTTCCCAGTGCTCTACTCGTATTTCCATCTGGCTTTCCCACCAATATCCTATATGCGTTCTTCTTATTCTTCTCCTCCTCTTCCTCTTCCTCCCCCCATTCGTGTTACATGCCCTGCCCATCTCATACTACTTGACTCGATCATTATGTGAAAGAAGTGAAGAGTTAAATGTTGCCTCCCCGTTATATATTGATTTACCGCATTTTGTGCAGAGAACAAGGTGAGGCGACCTGTAGTAGTGCGCTTATAATGTGCTGAATCTCTTCTCGAATATCTTATTTCGAAATTAATATTTATGAGTGTCTTCGATAGACATTTAATTTTTAACACTATTACATTTTTTCATTTGTAGTATTTGATGAAAACTTTAAAAAGATTATGAGAGGAATGTTCCCACAGAGATATTGGGTTTTCGGACTTTATCCATCGTCCTGGTTTTAAGATAACTAATAAAAACACGTTTCGGAAACTGGATCTGTTTCCGTCCTCAGGTGAGGAAAAACATCTATTCTGTCCGAAAAAACTAATATCTCTGTGTGTTATACACCATCGTCAGAATCCTATAGTAACTACATGAAAAAAGGTCTCAGAATATTTGCGAGTGAAAGAATACAGTAGCTAGAACACCAGGAAAAAACACATAAATTTAATTTTCTGTTCCAGAAATTACTTAAAATAAACCCAGCCAATTTTCAACAATGCCAATTAATAGAGAGGTTTCGGGTGGAGGAACAGTGTTTAGACAACACGCACAACAGCCATGTCAGACAACTTGTCGCTAAAGCACGGCGTTTGACATACAGAGTCAATTATGAAGGGTGATAAATTTTGCCCTGAAGGGCCGAATGAGAAGTTCCATTTGTTTTTCTGTCCCGGAAAGAAATCATATTATGCCATTTTGTTGTACTTTTTATGTACTTTGAAACCTTCAGAAACTGATTATTATCCAGTTTTCCGTATATGATTCACTGTCAGCACGCACCAAACTAACGCGAGTCTAAACTAGTCTTCGTGACTCTACATTAAGCACAAAACACTAGAACCCCGTCATTCTCCTCACGCGTACCACCATACACGTGATGCACGTAATATGCATTTTATGTGCAAGTTTTGTCTGGAATTTTTCTTATTGTCATTATGAAATTTCGGGATACCATAATAACAGAGTGACAAAGTTAACAATTTTCCTGAACATAAGTTATGTAGGAGGTCAAGAACGAGCGAGCAGACTTTCTTCCAGTGTATCGTGTGTATTCGCTGAGTATTAATGGTATTTTATACGGATGCATGAAATGCAGTATACTATATGAAAAGGAGGATTAATCATTGACTATTTTCAGGTGTTATTCGTGACAGATGGCGTTAAAACTCGGCCTCGAACTATCATATTCTAACACGCTGGACTGGAAAGGAATGTGGGTTAAATCTGGGGGGAGCTTATGTAACATTTGACGAGATTTCACATTAATTTTCATGGAGTGTTATACAAATCTCTGTGAATTGTTGACTGCGGAATATTGTTGCTCCAGCATCAAAAGATAGCGTTTCTAGAATCCAGTTAGACTCAATCGCATGTGATATTGTTCGCGTCGAGTTAATTGTTAATCATCGGTTATTAGAGGGGGCATGCGGTAGCGTAGTTGGTTGAGGCACTAAGCTACAAGTCGGAAGGTCGCCGGTTCAAGTCCCGATGAGGTCACCGGATTTTTTTCAATTGACCTAATCCTTCCAGCCGCACTATAGCCCTGGGGTCGACTGAGCCTCTAACATAAATGAGTAGCAGGAATATTCTTGGAATATTCTTGGGGGTAAAGGGCGGTCGGGGCGTAGGGCTGATAACCTTGACGCCATCTATGAGCCGATTGTCTAGAAAATGTGGGAGCCTCAACATCTCACAACCCTATGGGCCTCCACGGCCTGGTACAGGCATACCTTTACTTTACTTGTACTTTACATGGGTTATGAGATTGCAAGGACCGCTATACATTGTATTCATTTCAAATGCGTGACGATGAGTCTGAACATTCGTAGGCGAAAAATATCCGTAGAAAGAAACGAGAACGTGAGCCTCTAAGGGAGCTCGAAGGTTTGTCTGCCTCTTACCTGTTGGTGCCGTTGAGCCGGCAGTCAGCACTGTTATCGCCAGCAGGGAGCAGTTGCTTCCCCCCGTAACCAGTCTGTGTCTTCATCCGACCTCCATCGAATGTTCGCAGCACATTTGCTTCTTCTCTGGAACTTCCGTACACCATTGATGCATCCAGAAATGATGTCACTTGGTTCAATTGCTCTCTGGGTCCTGGAATACATGGAGAATGCAACTAAATGTCTCTTCAATTACTCTATATGAACTTATAGATGTCATGTATGCATGTTAGTCGTTATTCTATTAGCTCTTGTGGACGTGTTTTTGTGTAAAACTATTTGTACTTTAATAACTTAATTGCTACTTGAAATTGAATGCACTGCAGGCAGCAGACACTGAATTCATCTTCTTAATCTTGCCTGGCAGATCAGGTCTTCTAGTTTGTTCCCACGTCAGAACTAATCCGATACCAGTAATTATAAAACTTAGAGACAGTTGAAGGCCGCGCCATAGCTCAAGCGGTTAGTCGCTGGCTTCCCACCGCGGCGGCCCGGGTTAGATCCCGGGGCTGGTCAAGTGGGATTTGTGGTGGACAAAGTGGCGCTGGGGCAGGTTTTCTCCGAGTACTTCGGTTTCCCCTGCCAATCTTTATTCCATCAATTGCTCCACAATCACCCTCACCTATCATCTGGGGCTGGTACAATAGGCCAGAAGTGGCCGCAGTACAAAGGACTTAGTCCCATCCCACTAGCAATAAAAAAACTATGAAACTTAGAGACAGTCGATAGGACTCCTAGCACGGAGGACCAGCCCGTCGCAAGGCCGCTACCTACACAGGAAAACAAATACCATGACATAGATTCATGCCTCTAGTGGGATTCGAACTTACGATCACACTGTTCGAGAGGAAGAAGACAGACTCCACGGCCGCTATGAACTGTTCTTCCTTGCCACTGGTTCAGGTCCCAGGAATGAAAATACGTGACATTACACATCTTTTCTTTTATTTATCGCGTAGCGCCGCAAGATGGAGCCGGGATAGGCTAGTCGGTTTAGCGACTGTCTACGGGCTGAACGACCGAGGGGCTTGGTTCGAGTTCCGGCAGGGTCAAGAATTTTCTCTTCTCCACGTCGTCCTTGCTGGCTCTGGGGCCCACCTAGCCTCATATCCAATGTGTACCGGGAGCTCTTTCTCCGGGGGTAAAGCTGCCAGGGCGTGAGGATGACCACTCACCTCCAGCTAGTGCCGAGGTCACGAAAATGTGAATCTATACATCCACTTCCCCATACGCCTTCATAACATAGCGCTTAGCTAGTTAAGCACAGCGTCAACTTTACTTCAGCACCGCAAGATAAGGCGAAATTTATATTTCACACTAATATTAATAAGCTTTCTTTTCTACGCCGGGAACTAGGCTAGGCTGTCTACGGATTCTATTTGTTTTCCTCAGTTCCTCCAGGCGAATATCGGAATAGTAACACGATTAACCCACGGCCAGTTCCTTCCACTTCATTCTTCATCAATCATTCTACTATTCCCCATTATGTGGACACTGACATTGACGTGGAATTAACCGCAAGAAAGGAGTTCTCTACAGTCTTCATCTGTTTCAGGTGGTAGTATTTACTTACCGTTGTTATGGCAACTGAACACTGCAGCATCGACTGGCAGCGAGATTGGAAATGAATAAATAGGAAGTTGCTGCAAGAGGTCTTGGTCAATTTTGAAATATATCAGGATTTGACTTGTGGGAAGGGAAAGCCACAATAAATCTCATTGTTGTTAGAAGATCTCCAGACAGAGTTTCAGATCTAGAGCCTCTAGAATAGGAAGCAGAGTTCTAACGGCTATAGCCACTGGCTTTGTATGATATCTCCAGAGTAACAGGAAGCCTTCTAGACATGTGCCAAGGCCTGAAGTGTAATTTGAGATAATTATCACCTTGAGGTTTTCAACGTCCTGGAATATCAGGCAATCTTCTAGAAATGTACTGAGACGTAACGTGTAACCTGAGCTACCTAGGGTGCAGCCTATCCGTGGGGCTGTTCCAGACCGAGCATACTCTTCACATTTCTCCCCGCTCTTTCCATGTATGGGATCATCCTCCGGCAGACGAATTGGGAAGCACTCCGGGTGGAAGTCGCTGAAGTTAACACTGCAGCACTTAAGGCGCCTCCCTTGGAATCCTGAAACACGACGATAACTGCCATGTTTCTTCCGTTGCGAGCCCTGACCTCGTCGCTGCGTCTCGTGACGTTATCTCGGTGGACAGAACATGAAGGTTCGTTTAGAATCACATGTTTTGAAGCATTATAACTGAACACAGACATCAAGGCAGACCAGTCCCTGGGAGCTGCCAAGGCTGGCTCGCAAATTACTGTCAAGATTATGAATATGCTCAGGAGTCTGAGTGTCAATTCAAAAAATAGTTTTAATGCAAGAAACTTATAATTGACATTCGTTAATATAAATTTCTTTATTACACAAGCATTCCATCACACGTGGTGTGCTGGGTGCGGTATCGATTCTGACAAGTGAAATGTTAGCTCAGCAAGTTGGTGAAGACATTTTCTTCTCGAGATCAGCAGTGGATGTGAATGAGTAGTAAGTAAATCCATAGATGGAGGCGAACCGGAAGATTTTAGATGGTAGGTAAGACAGACTGTGACAGCATAGACAGCGCTCAAGCTGACCTCATGGGGCAGTTGGCTCGAGAAGAAAACTACGGCGACGTTAGGCTGTGGTGGTGGCGGTGATGGCGGTGGCGGTGGTGGCGGTGGCAGTGGTGGCAGTGGTGGTGGTGGCAGTGGTGGCGGTGGCGGTGGTGATGATGATGGTGATGGTGGTGTTGAGTATTATAATAAGGAAGTAAATAGTAGCTTTGGCGATATAATTATTCACCCTTACTGGCGTAACATAGATGACCCCAGGAGCCACGAAGTTAAAGAGCTTCAACGGCTTCAGTAGTGGGACATGCATATTTTATCCGTTTCGCATTGTTGTGTGACGTCACTATGACCTGTTTCCTTTTTTGTTGTTTTCTGGTGAGGATTCATAAAGCTTCTCGTGGTGGGTAACACGACAGCTTTATCTTACCTAGAGGAGAGATCACACCCGGAGTGGAGCTGAAGCCCCGAGAAGAGGGGGGGGGTATAAACGAATCAGATGAATATGGAGTAAAAAGGAAGGTCTAAAGGCCTGAAGATATGAGACAAGCAAGAGAGATACGCAATGAATAAAAGTAAGGAAAGAAGATAAAGATGGATGTTAAAAACGTTCGGGAAATAAATGAGGAATAAAACACGTTAGTAAGACAAATAGGCACGGAATAAATGAAATGAGGGAATGAAGGGGATAGGTCGAGACAAGAGAGTGAAATAAATGAGAGAAGTAGAGCATTCTTGACGAAAATGTTAGAAAAGAGAAAGGGACACGAACTAATTGGAAACAATGGAGTAGAAACTGAGAAGAAATTTCGCAAGAAGAGGGCAAAATAAAAACGAGGTGTTGGTACCTGCCATCTGCGGTGTGTGCGCCATGTCATGGTAGATAAACTCGCCCCAGACCGCGGTTATGGCCATGAGGTGGGGGTGTGGGAGGTCCTCGTCCTTGTGTACGGCGAGAGAGACCTCGCGCGGGCTGGGCAGGGGGTTGTGGCCGCTACCGCGCGGCAGGCTCACCCCGTCACTGTACTGTGCGGGCAGAAACCGCAAGTAACGTGTGTTGGCCTTGCCCCAGTGCGGGTTCTGCACGTTGTTGCAGTAACCAGAGAAGGCGCGGTATTTGCGCGGCTGGCAGGGGAAGTCCACCTCCAGTGGGCAGTGGTCGCCCAGTGAGGTACCCCTCACATCCATCATCGGCAGGCCGAAGCTCACCTGGTCACGGGAAAGTTTGAACCTGGTAGACAATTTCATTCTTAATTAGCTGCGTGAATCTGCCATTGGGATTTCTCCAAGAAGTTTGTAGAAGTTGGCATGTATTCGGGAGCTGCCTCACTCGATTCTAGGACTTCAACATGATGAAGACAGTGGAGTATATTCACGACCATTTTACACTAATTCGTGATAGTGCCTTGAAGCAGATAGCGATCGACTCTTCCAAAATCCACCTTATCTGAAGGTAGGAGGCCTTCACTAAATTTGCCGGAAAATCCAGATTTTAAGCACATGGACCTACAATAGAGTCCACTTAGAGTCATGAATGGATAAACAGGCTGCAAAGAACGCCAATGGAGAATTTTGGTAACTGCATTATGCATTGTATCCTAGCTAAACGTGAGCCGGAATAGCTCAGTCGGTACAGCGACTGGCTACGGGCTGGACTACAAAGAGTTAGGAGTTCGAGTCCCGGTTTCGTCAAGAATTTTCTCTTCTCCATGTCGTCCAGACCGGGTCCGGGGTCCACCCAACCTCCTATACAATTGATACCGGCAGCTATTTCTCCGGGGGTAAAGCGGACGGGGCCTGAAGCTGACCACTACTCCAACTAGTCAAGAAATTTGGATCTGTACACCCACTCTTTCATACGCCTTCATGGTGTAGTGCTTAATTAGTTAAGCACAGGGACAACTTTACCTTTACTTTACCCTAGCTAAACTCGTAAACAATGAGGGGCCTCTCTTTGTATTCCTCACCGAATGTTGCTGAGGCGCTCAGACAAGAGACCGGAGAAGGGCAGAACACTTACCACGGAAGAGGGAGATAAGCATATAAATTGTTGTCGACAAACGCGGAAGGAAGAGCCCGAGCGGGGAGACATAGGTCTATATGGAAAGACAATATTAAACCGTAGGTCGTATATGGTAAGAAGGCGTGGGCTACATTCGTCTGGCTCAGGACAGAGACCAGTGGCGGGCTTTTGTGAACAATGTAACGAAATTTCTGGTTCCTTAAAGAGAAGTTTCTCCAGTAGCTCGGAAACTACGACATTTTCAAGAAAAACACTGAAGCATGGATTTTGACAACTGTACATTATTAACATACATCTGTTTATAAACTCTTTATAAGTTAACAGTGAGGACATTACACATTTATTAATTACAGGCCAATTTGATAAATTTAACAGCGTTGGAATCTAATCGTGTGTGCAAACACAACTAATTTAAGCCTCTACGATCATTACGTTGCAGTTCCTGTTAGTATTTTAAGAAAAGATAAAGTTAAAATTGTCCCTGTGCTTAATTAACTAAACGATACGCCATAAAGGCGTATGGAGGAGTGGAGATATATATCCACATTTTCTTGGGCTCTGAATTAGTTGGAGGTGAGTGGTCGGTTTCATGCCCCGGTCGCTTTAACCCCGAGGAAAGAGCGTTCGCTAACAATTGTATAGGAGGTTGGGTGGACCTCAGAACCGGTCTAGACGAGAAAATTTTTACTCTACCGGAACTCGAACTCCCACCCCTCTGTCGTCCAGCCCGTAGCCAGACGTTATACCGACTGCGTTATCGGGGACAGCGCAGCTGGTACAGCGACTGGCTACGGGCTGAACCACCGAGAATTCGGATTTCGATAGCGCATTCGGTATGGCGACTGGTTAGGGGTTGGACGACAGAGGGGTCGGAGTTCGAATCCCGGTAGAGTCAAGAATTATTCATTCTCAATGTCGTCCAGCCTGGCTTTGGGGCTCTGCGACTCCTGTGGGTACCGGAAACACTTTCCCCGGGGATAAAGCGGCCGGGGCGTGAAGCTGACCACTCACTTCTAACTAGTGCCGAGGTCAAGAAACGTGGAGCTATACATCCACTCACCCATGCGCCTTCATAGCGTAGTGCTTAGTTAGTTAAGAACAGGAACATTTTAAGGAAAGAACGAGTCAGAATTTCTCCACCGAATTCCTTGTCTCGGTCAGAATTTAAAATCTTTCACAATGTAAATTAAATTGAAATACTGAACACATGTCCATCATAAATTGCAAAAACTTACGCGTGCACGATATACTTTGTGGTTTCCTCAGATATGAGAGCTACATGACTCAGGTTCCTGGCGGAGGGTGACATGGAGTGTGACGCTGCCATGAACCACGCTGGGGTGCCTGGAGTCTGCATCACCCCTGAAAGCAAAAACATTAAGATGGTAAAATTCCAGGAGAAAGAAGTTTATTGGTTTGACCAGCTCTCTACGACAGTGGCGTATTTCGAAAGCTTATATATTTTTACATAATTTAATTTAAAGAGAGTAAGTATAAAGACACGAACCAAACTGGTTCTAGGTTCTGACAAAAGGTTCTTCAAACAGTACTTTGTAAATAGACTAATTACAATAATTTACAAATATTTTAGCAAATTCCTGCACATCTTAGTAGTTGTTACAGGATATAATATTTTATATCTATGACATTATAATAGTAGTTTCTGCATGTATTGATAATGTGTTTCTGAAGATGGCCGCTCCGGCCGAAACATGTAAAGGAAGAAAGATTAAAAACTCAACATACTGGACGGCGTTAATAATCTTATATACTAAATAAATACGTGTATATATTTCTAAGCAATGTGGGCATAGCTGAGGTTGAGGCCAGAACTTTTTTAATTCTGGCCTAATATGCCAACTGCTAGAATAGCTTAACATTTCGGAAGCTGCCTGTACTCCCATTTTCATGCGGTAGGTTTCACTATACTCATTATCACTCAATTAAGCTCTTTATTTATTTACGTGCTGAGCAGCAGAAGGCAAGCAGCTGGATGAGCTCCTGAACACGGAACAGCTACGTTTTGACGTGAGAAGATTTCGCCTTCAAATAAACCAAGGTAACTGTTAAAAACTGCTTTATTTCAGTGGCCACTAAACGTTTCGGTCCTCACGGGACCATCATATAGTAGCCACTGAAATAAACCAATTGCTAAGAGCTACCTTCACTCACTCACTCATGGAGCTGAGCCCTCCTTGAGAAGCTGCCAATTGTGCAGCTACTCAAGAAGGTCCCAGCATTATTATGGAACCTGAAGTTTCATTACCGTGTTCACAAGAGCCCTCCACTGGTCCCTATCTTGAGTCAGATCAATCCAATCCATACCATCCCATCCACCCACCTATGCCATAGTCGTTAAGATTTTCCTTGGTTTATTTAATTAAATATTTTTGTGTCAACTGCCGAAATTTTCCTCATAATTGTGATACAAAACAGGATGCATACAGCGAGTTACGTATATTCCGAGAAGGAACAGGAAGGCCGACTGTTTCGGAGTGACGACGCCTAATATGCATTATCAGAAAAATTAAATTTTCCGGTATATTATGATAGTGATACTCCACGCATTGAAAAAAATCTACTATGGAAAAGGGCTGCAAATTTTCTTTTTATGCGCCCAAGTTTATTGGAATCAGTAATCCTAACAGAGTTCCTAGCAACAGAAATATATTCAAATTTAGATTTTTTTTATTGCTAGTGGGGTGGGACTAAGTCTCTTGTACTGCGGCCATTTCTGGCCTATGGTACAGCCCCAGATGATAGGTGAGGGTGATTGTGGAGCAATTGCTGGAATGAAGATTGGCAGGGGAAACCGAAGTACTCGGAGAAATCCTGCCCCA